TGGCCTCCAGGAGCCCTTGATTACCACTTGTAAAGGGCAGGAGAGAGGGAGGTGGCAGCTGGAGGGAAGGCAGCATCCAAGATGGGTTCTAGGTTGGGAGAAGCATAGGTTATGACCAGGGGGACAGGGAGCTGATTTAGGGGCAGGAGCTAAAGAGGGAGGGGTCTGTTAGGTGTGGAGAGTGACAGGGAAATGGGTTGGCCTAAGGGTGCCGTCCTGAGGGTCGGAGCGAGGAGGTGTCAGGGAGAGGGCCGGTTGCCCTGCTCTGAAGGGACCCGGTGACATGGAAGTGCCAGGGGTGCCCGGCAATGGAGGGAGGTCAGAAGTCAGGGGCCCTGCTGGGGTGCCCCGTGGTGAAGGCTTAGGGGGCTCCTCATGCAGTCCCTAGAAGGGCTGTGCCGCACTCACAATTCCCCATTTCTTACATGTCCCCAACATGAAACCCTGGAAAGTTTGTCAGGTCACAGACAGGCCTTATTCCAGCCCAGGCATTTCATTACTTCGAGGCTGCCCCCTCGAAGAGCATCCTGGCAGGATCACAGCTTAGATCACATCTGTGCTCCTAAGATGACCATCAGGAGGAGGCCCTTCATACTGAGATGTGGAGGCAGAGAGGCTGTGGTCCAGGTCCTCTCTAGGAAGAGAGAACTGCTGCCATGGGCCAGGTAGGGCCAGGCTGGGTCCCAAGCCCAGGCTGGGCACATATGGGTGCTTGGGAAACCATGGATGATCGGTGGCTGGTGGCCTGGGACCTGGATGGGGCCAGGGTCACCAGGGGCTGGTCACTGTTCCAGTCCCAGCATCAACCTTAGCTCCTAGTCAGTGGGAAAGGGGGCTGGAGCAGGGTCCAATTACAGTGACCACAGGGAAATGAGGCCACAGATTTCATTGCAGGGAGAAGGTGGGTCAAAGAAGGCCACGTGCTCCTGTCCTGACAGCCTAGAGCCTGCCTATGCCTGGGGCGGCCGCTCCCTTGAAGGGCATCTGTCCATCTTGGGGACTGAGGGTCTCTGAAGTCAGGTCTACATGCTACCACTCAACAGCCCCCCTCAAACACCTACTGCTCGGAGGACCGGGGTTTCTCTTTCCCATGGCCCCAGACCCAGAGCCCCATGTGTTCTTCCCTTGGGAGAACAGTCCCTGAATGAAGATGTTGTCAGGAATATTTGAATCTTGAAAGAGCAACTGGGACCAGAAATGGAGGGAACTGGGGAGCCGCCTCCCAGTGACGGACTCTCCTGGAGGTGGGGGACACTGTAAGCCCTGGATCTAGAACCAGGACTGGGATGGGGTCTCTAAGAAGAGGGGACTCTCTCATGGCCCCTCCCCTGAGTGCCCTGACCTGATATTTGACCCGGAGGAAAGAGACAGGGCATGAGGAATCCTGCTAATCTGACCCGAGGCCCCTGCCCCGACTTCATCCCTTATTGGTCCAATAACTCTGTCACTTGAATCCTGGGTCCCAGGATGGGGGCCTGGGTCCAGTGGGCTCTGAGCTCCCCATGGAGGAAGCTGGATGCAGTGGGTAGATATGGCCAGGGGGGGTGAATGTAGCCAGGCACCTGGGGTCCAGAGCTGAGATCTGGAGTGGGGTGGGCCAGGGGTGGGCCCTGCTGTGGCCTGTGGCAGGTCACTCAGGCTCTCTGGGCTGTGATGTCACCATCCTAGGGCCAGGATCCTAATAGGATCTCTCTCCAAGGGTGGTTTGGCTTGGAGAGCATTTAGTCTCAGGGGGCCTGCGGGAAGACTGTGCCCTGGAGCTGTGGCTAAACTCCCGGTGCCTTCCTCGGACCCCAGGAGGAGAAGGGAGCACAGGAGACCAGGGACAGGGAGGGCATCCATCCGTCTTGGGAACTGAGGGTCTCTGAAGTCAGGTTGGCTCTGCTGGAAAGCCCTCTGCCACCTTCCTCTTGACTTCAGGGGCTGAGCTGGGATGGCCCTGGAAGTGGCTAGGCCTGGAGTGGGCACAGAGAACAGGAGAGTAACTCAGGAAAGGAGCTGTGGTGGGCTGAATTAGGCCCCCAGGGACAGTCATGTCCCAATCCTGGACCTGTCCCTGTGTCATGTTGTGTGGTCACAGGGACTTTGCCTATGTGATGGTGTTAAGGGGCCTGAGGTGGCACATGATCCTGGGGTATCCAGGTGGGCCCAAGGTGGGGTCTTTATAAAAGAAAGAGGGAGGCAGGAGGGTCAGAGTGAGAGGAGATGCGGGGATGGAGGGAGAGAGGGAGAGAGAAAGGTAGGGAGGGAGAGAAGAGCAGGAGAGGGACTTGAGGATGCTGAGCTGTGGCTCTGAAGCTGGAGGAAGGGGCATCCTCTAGAAGCTGGAAAAGTCTTGGAAATGATTTCTCCCTAGAGCCCCAAGAAAGAGCCCAGCCCTGCTGGCACCCTGATTTTAGTCCCGCAAGGGCTCATTTTGGACTTCTGACCTTCAGACCTGGGAGAGAATCAATGGGTGATATTTTAAGCCACTAAATTAGGGGTCATTTGTGACAGTAGCCACAGGAAAGTCAAAAAGGCACCGTGGGAGAGACTCCCCAGGATGCCCTGATGGTCCCTCCCCGGACCCACCCACACTGACCCAGGCCTGACCCCTGCAGGTGCCCCCACCCTAAGGAGCAGGGACCATGCAGGAGGGGCTGGGTGGGGCTGGGCCGTGTTCTCTCCCCCAACACCTTTCTCTCAGAGAGCAGCTGGAGCCCCAGATTCTGGGAGCCCTACAGAGAAAGTCCTGATGAGGGACAGGGTTTTCCAGCGAAGGTTCGGAATCCAGTGGAGAAGTGTACCCAAAAAGATGTTCCCAAAGACGGCCAGCGACTTTCTGTTGAGGCACTTGAGAGACTTGCCATGTCTTAGGGCTGCCAGACACTTACACTTGTGTGTGTCAAGGTTCAAATCCCATCAAGACTGAGGCCTTGGGTAAAACGTGTTCCCACTTTTGATTGTGACGAGATGCTTGTCCTATCGTCACATTGTTTTTCACTCTCAGATCTGAACATGGAGCTGTGTCTGTTCGAAAGGGTCTCCATGTTGTCAGAAGTTATAGTGGGGATCTGAGTCTCCAGTGGGTTTTCCCTGACAAGCACGCACCCATCCCAGTCACCGTCCCTATCAGGAGTCCTTGTCCTGGGCATCTGCTCTGGGGTCTTCCTCCCGTGGGGGAATTGGTAAGGGTCCACGTTTAGGAGCTGAGTTTTCTGAGACCCAGCACCCTGTCCATGGTGTCCTGCCTGTCCTGGGGAAGGGAGTGTGACCCAGCACCGGGGGCCACCTTCTCCCAGGATATTCTTTCTCCATCTTTGTCTTCCTCCTGATTCCTCTCACATCTCTCCAAGTCATCAGTCCGAGGCCTGTTGCTACCGTGTTTAACACAGCCGGATAGCCGGGACCCCCAGAGGACAGCACCCCAGGAGAGGCTGGGTTACCAAACTGACCCAGGAGCCCAGACAAGGAGGGGCAGAGGTTCCAGACACTCAGGCAGGCTTAGACCTTAGCCTCAGACAAGACAGGCAAGGGAAGAAGCTCCCCACATTTCACTTGGGACCTCAAAGAGGAGACAAGCTGGGAAACTTACCAAGGATGGTCAGCTGGGTGCCGGCTCCGAGCACAGCACACAGTGACACAACCCACATAGAAAGGCCTCCTGACACACCTGACCCATTCCCTGCTGCAGCTACTAGGGTGCCCGGGTCCAGCAGCCCTGTCATGAAGCAGGTCTGCCCGATAGGAGGGTGAGGTGTTTCGTCCCTCCATGTTGGATGCACACTTTCCTGGAAGTTAGGAATCCCTCCAGAATGGGGAGTGGGAGGAGGCATATCTGCGCATCACATCTGGATGTCCTGGAGCAAGCCATGTGTCCCGGCTAGGCTCCTTTGGAGACTGTCACCATGGAAGAAGTGAGAAGCCTTTTTATGCCACAGGGAAGGTGGAGCTGGTCCCCTATGGAGAACTGAGGCCCCTGGGAGGGTCCTGGATGCCTAGCACAGGCCCCAGTGGGATGCCCACGTGGCAGTAATTCAAAATAGCACCGGAGTGTGTGTGTGTGTGTGTGTGTGTGTGTGTGTGTGTTTGCATGCAGGCTTGTTTATTTGTTTGTGAATACCTGTGTGTGTATGAGGTGCACATGTGTGTTAATGTTTGTGAATATGTGTGTATGTGAGTTTGTCTCATAGCCCAGGCCTGCCACCCTGTGCTACCTCCTGGGACAATAATCAACTGGGTTCTTAGGCCCCACATACAGCTCTTAAGGAGACCAGTGGGTTTACAGGCACGTCTATGGCACTGGTCAGGAATCTTATGATTGACTTTGACTTCCCCAGGTCCCAGTGACCATCCATGGACACCTGGACATTAGGTTCTTGAGGTGTGGTCAGTTTGGGGCTGGCTAGTTAGGGGTGAGAGAGAGCAGAGTTGACTCTTATCCCCCAGGGGACTTGAGTACAAACTGGGACACTGGTGACACTTGTGGGACCAGAGGTACCCAGTCGGCCTGTGGGGTGAGTGACCTGGGTCCAGAGTGTCAGAGTCCAGTGGGTGCCTGCTTCAGAGATGGATGTGGGGGTAGAGGGCAGGATCCTGGGAGTCAGAAACAGGGTGGGGCCCTAAGGAGTTGGGGAGGCCAAGGGCCCACAGACTGCAGAGGCTCCTTTGGCCTGAGAAGGAAGGACCCCTCGAGAGAGGGAGGCTGTCCAGGGGCTGAGGCCTGACGATTCATGGAGGGAACTCGTTCTCCTGGAGGCCATGGGGAACCAAGGAGAGGTGGCTCCAGGCCATGGAGGTGGACATGTCCACACAAACCCAGCATGTATGGGAAAGAGGGGCAATCCTGGGGCCGGCTGCCCAAAGCTCTCTTCTGGAATATTCTCTGGGCCTTTCTGGGTGCCGGTGGAACTACCCCTCAAAGCAATCCAGACTCCATTCCCTGGCTCCATTCCCACAAGGCGAAAAGAATTCTGTTCATCTTGCAGGTTGGTCCAGTTAAACAGAACACAAAGCCAGGCTTTCTGGTTGACAGTGAGGACATTTATTGAGGGTTTACTGGGTGCAGGGAGAAGGGCTGGATGACTTGGGATTGGGGGAGAGACCCCTCCCCTGGGATTCTGCAACTGCAGGCCCCGTGGGTGGGGTGAGGGTTGGGGGCCTAAGAACATCCTGAAGGGGCCACTGTCTTCTCCACAGTTTTCCCCTCGTGCGTGACGTGGCAGCTGTAGCTGCTGCGGGACTTCCACTGCTGCGGCGTGAGGCTCAGGTAGCTGCTGGCCGCGTACTTGTTGTTGCTCTGTTTGGAGGGTTTGGTGGTCTGCACTCCATCCCTGACGCTGTTGCCATCTGCCTTCCAGTCCACTGTCACGGCTCCCGGGTAGAAGTCACTTATGAGGCACACCAATGTGGCCTTGTTGGCTTGGAGCTCCTCAGAGGAGGGCGGGAACACAGTGACCGTGGGGGTGGCCTTGGGCTGACCTGGGAGAGGGGCAAAGGGCAGAAGTTCAGAGTCCTGGTGTCCACCTGGGAGCTCCCGGCCTCAGTCTTGAGGTGGGCGCAGGACTAAGGCCCAGGACAGGGACCTCAGGCAGGGCCCTTCCTGCAGGAGGTCAGCTTGGCGGTGGTGGGGACACTCACCTCCCGATGGGAAACGCCTCAGCGTCCTAGGACTGGAGAGAATCAGGTCTCTTTCACTCCAGCCTCCTTTCTAGATTCCCCTCCTTGTCAGCCAGGCCTCACCTCACCTGTGCTCTCCACTGCTGGCGGGGCAGGGTTTAGCCCTGGGCCCTCGTCTTTCCTCAGGGAATATCTCTGTCTCAACAGCCCTGCCAGGTCCCTCTGTGTCTGTTCATGAGGGCATCTGTGTCCTGTTTTGAGGTTCTCCTCCCTTTTGAGGAATGAGTTTCTTCCCCAGGGGTCCCCCTGGTACCATCACTGCAGTCCCCACCCCACTTTCCCACCGAGCCCCCTTGTTGGGGACAGGGCGTTAGTCCCAGGGACACTGTCCTGTTTTGAGGTTCTCCTCCCTTTTGAGGAGTGAGTTTCTTCCCCACGGGTCCCCCTGGCGCCATCACTGCAGTCCCCACCTCACTTTCTCATCAAGCCCCCTATTTGGGGAGAGGGCGTTAGTCCCGGGGCCGGGTCCCCGGGAGTCCCTGGGAGTCCAGGAGAATGAGGCCTTGATGTGAGGTATGTTTTCTGGTCTGAGCCTGGGGCTGTGTGTGTTCCACGGGGTCTCCTTGTCATATTGGGAGTTCTGCCCTGACAGTTCCCTGGCACCTGTGCCCAGCAGGAGTCCCTCCCCTGGCATCTGCTTTGAGGTGTCTCCTTTTTTGTGAGGGGAAGGCTCTAGCCTTGGCCTGAGTGTCCTGAGACCCACCCTGTCCACGGCAGCCTGCCTGTCCTGGGGGACGAGGAGGGACCCAGCATGCTGGGGCCACTTTATTACAGGACATTCTTCCTCCACCTTTGTCCCCTTTGATTTCCCCAAGTCCCCAGTCAAAGGCTTCCCTTCTAGGCGTTTAAAGCAACCCCATAGTTAGGACCCAGAACCCTAAGAGCTGAGCTGTTTCCTGCATTCTTTCCCTTTCTAACGGCCCTGGTACCCCAGCCTGAGCCCCTGCTCTGCTTGTCCCCTGGCCGTCAGACTCTGAGGGAGGGAGTGGAACATCCCAGAGCCCAGGGAGAATGCCCATGAGTGACATTGGCAGGGTCAGGACAGAGCAGAGAGCAGAAAGGGTTGACTGGGTCTTCCCACCCTTCTGCTTCAGGAGCCTAAGAAGGGAGAGGCTGGAGGAGTTTGGGGCCAGCAAAAAGGCAATGGAAGCAGACCCCATAGAGATTGAGACCCCTGCCCCAGACAGAGCACAAAGAAGAGGAAAGTGTCCCCCGAACTCTCCCTAGACCCAGAAGAAGAGAAAAAGGGGACTCACCGAGGACAGTCAGCGTGGTGCCACCGCCGAACACAACACACTGTGATATAGCCCTGCACACAAACCCTCCTGATATGCCCGACTCAGGCCCCCCTGCAGCTGCTCTCAAGGCCCAGGGTCCAGGCCCCTCTTCTCATGGGTGGGTGAGCCACAGGTGGGTTGCCTTCCACTGACCCGAACATCACTTCCTTGGGGGCTTAGGAGTTCATCCACCCCAGTCATGGGAGGTGTTGACAGGTCTGTGTGTGGAGTTGTCTTCCAGGTAATCGCACTTCTGAGGAACAGTTGGGTGGCCGGGATAGCTGGTGTCAGGAATGCCAGGGAGGAGGAGGAGGAGGTGAGCGACGGGTGACACCACTGACATGGTGCAGCTGGGACCCCTCTGAGAAGCTGGGACTGGTGGGTAGGGTCCTGGATTCCCCCCACATCCTCAGCACTGGAGCTTACCGTGGGATTAGCTTGGAATGGCAACTGGGGGTTGTGGGGAGAATGACGTTGACCAGGGGGACACAACCCTTCTGCAAAGCCTGAGCTCCAGCATCCTTGGCTAAGCTGATCTGAAGGAGCAGCTCACAGGTCACTGCCTGAGTCCCCATCCTGAGCCCGTGGGGCATGTTCCTCCCTATGGGCTGTGTGTGCTGGATCAGAGCTGCAATGGAGCAGAGGAGAGGTCCTCAAGGGGGTCATAGGCCTCATTGGCAGAGTGGTTTCCTCCAGGATCTCTACGTGTGGGGGTCTCTGCTGTCTACTTCAGCTCTTTCTGGCTCACACATGCACCCACATGAGCATGCTCTGTAGTCCCCTATGCCCACCGGTGACCCACATAGCCTGTCCTGAGGGGTGTCACCAGCACGGGATGCACCCAGAGCGGATGGGCACGTGCAGTGTGGGGCCTGGACACATTGGGCCTGGACCTGCATCCTGGTCTTGGCCCATCACTTGAAGAGCTCACACCTCGGACACACACCAGGCACCCCTCAGTCCCCAACAATGTCCCTCACAGCAAGCGCCTCACCTACCTCTGAGATGTGGCCTGCTGCTCCCCGGTCAGAATCCTGTCCTCATCCTCTCCTGTTTCATTCTTGGCCTGGACAGAAAATCCCGCCCCATCTTCCCATGGCCAGGGGCAATCCTCTAGTCCCAAAACCTGGAGACTGCAGGTCCAAGCTTTGCTTTGCTCATGTCCCAACCTAGGCCTGACTGAAGCCCTTTTTACCTGGGCACTTCCTGATCCTCCCAGATGGATGCCTAACACGGGCATGTGTGTGTGCGCACGTGTGTGTGTGTGTACACCGTGTGTCTGCACGTGCGTGTTTGCAAGTGTGTGCAGTGTGTGTGTGTGTGTGTGTGTGTGTGTGTGTATTAGAACTCAGATCTCATGCTGTGTTCTTCAAAAGACAAGTCAGTTTCACCCAAGCCGTTGGCATAAGCCCAGAATCTGACTCTTGACTTTGAACTCAACTCCCCAGCCAATTGACAACTTGTGCACTCAGGACGTTAGGCACTCATAGTGGCGTCAGTGAGGAGCTGACACTTGTCNATGTTTTCTGGTCTGAGCCTGGGGCTGAGTGTGTTCCACAGGGTCTCCTTGTCATATTGGGAGATCTGGCTGTTCTAGGATGTCTGTCTGCCCTGACAGTTCCCTGTCACCTGTGCCCAGCAGGAGTCCCTCCCCTGGCATCTGCTTTGGGGTGTCTCCTTTTTTGTGAGGGGGAGGCTCTAGCCTTGGCCTGAGTGTCCTGAGACCCACCCTGTCCACGGCAGCCTGCCTGTCCTGGGGGACGTGGAGGGACCCAGCACGCTGGGGCCACCCTCTCACAGGACATTCTTCCTCCATCTTTGTCCCCTTTGATTTCCCCAAGTCCTCAGTCAAAGGCTTCCCTTCTAGGCGTTTAAAGCAGCCCCATAGTTAGGACCCAGAATCCTAAGAGCTGAGCTGTTTCCTGCATTCTTTCCCTTTCTAACGGCCCTGGTACCCCAGCCTGAGCCCCTGCTCTGCTTGTCCCCTGGCCGTCAGACTCTGAGGGAGGGAGTGGAACATCCCAGAGCCCAGGGAGAATGCCCATGAGTGACATTGGCAGGGTCAGGACAGAGCAGAGAGCAGAAAGGGTTGACTGGGTCTTCCCACCCTTCTGCTTCAGGAGCCTAAGAAGGGAGAGGCTGGAGGAGTTTGGGGCCAGCAAAAAGGCAATGGAAGCAGACCCCATAGAGATTGAGACCCCTGCCCCAGACAGAACACAAAGAAGAGGAAAGTGTCCCCCGAACTCTCCCTAGACCCAGAAGAAGAGAAAAAGGGGACTCACCGAGAACAGTCAGCGTGGTGCCACCGCCGAACACATAACACTGTGATATAGCCCTGCACACAAACCCTCTTGATATGCCTGACCCAGGCCCCCCTGCAGCTGCTCACAAGGCCCAGGGTCCAGCCCCCTCTTCTCATGGGTGGGTGAGCCACAGGTGGGTTGCCTTCCACTGACCCGAACATCACTTCCCTGGGGGCTTAGGAGTTCATCCACCCCAGTCATGGGAGGTGTTGGCAGGTCTGTGTGTGGAGTTGTCTTCCAGGTAATCACATTTCTGAGGAACAGTTGGGTGGCCGGGATAGCTGGTGTCAGGAATGCCAGGGAGGAGGAGGAGGAGGTGAGTGACGGGTGACACCACTGACATGGTGCAGCTGGGACCCCTCTGAGAAGCTGGGACTGTTGGGGTGGGTCCTGGATTCCCCCCACATCCTCAGCACTGGAGCTTCCGGTGGGATTAGCTTGGAATGGCAACTGGGGGTTGTGGGGAGAATGATGTTGACCACGGGGACACAGACCCTTCTGCAAGGCCTGAGCTCCAGCATCCTTGGCTAAGCTGATCTGAAGGAGCAGCTCACAGGTCACTGCCTGAGTACCCATCCTGAGCCCGTGGGGCATGTTCCTCCCTATGGGCTGTGTGTGCTGGATCAGAGCTGCAATGGAGCAGAGGAGAGGTCCTCAAGGGGGTCATAGGCCTCACTGGCAGAGTGGTTTCCTCCGGGATCTCTACGTGTGGGGGTCTCTGCTGTCTACTTCAGCTCTTTCTGGCTCACACATGAACCCACATGAGCATGCTCTGTAGTCCCCTATGCCCACCGGTGACCCACATAGCCTGTCCTGAGGGGTGTCACCAGCACGGGATGCACCCAGAGCGGATGGGCACGTGCAGTGTGGGGCCTGGGCACATTGGGCCTGGACCTGCATCCTGGTCTTGGCCCATCACTTGAAGAGCTCACACCTCGGACACACACCAGGCACCCCTCAGTCCCCAACAATGTCCCTCACAGCAAGCGCCTCACCTACCTCTGAGATGTGGCCTGCTGCTCCCCGGTCAGAATCCTGTCCTCATCCTCTCCTGTTTCATTCTTGGCCTGGACAGAAAATCCCGCCCCATCTTCCCATGGCCAGGGGCAATCCTCTAGTCCCAAAACCTGGAGACTGCAGGTCCAAGCTTTGCTTTGCTCATGTCCCAACCTAGGCCTGACTGAAGCCCTTTTTACCTGGGCACTTCCTGATCCNCCTAAGAGCTGAGCTGTTTCCTGCATTCTTTCCCTTTCTAACGGCCCTGGTACCCCAGCCTGAGCCCCTGCTCTGCTTGTCCCCTGGCCGTCAGACTCTGAGGGAGGGAGTGGAACATCCCAGAGCCCAGGGAGAATGCCCATGAGTGACATTGGCAGGGTCAGGACAGAGCAGAGAGCAGAAAGGGTTGATTGGGTCTTCCCACCCTTCTGCTTCAGGAGCCTAAGAAGGGAGAGGCTGGAGGAGTTTGGGGCCAGCAAAAAGGCAATGGAAGCAGACCCCATAGAGATTGAGACCCCTGCCCCAGACAGAGCACAAAGAAGAGGAAAGTGTCCCCCGAACTCTCCCTAGACCCAGAAGAAGAGAAAAAGGGGACTCACCGAGGACAGTCAGCGTGGTGCCACCGCCGAACACAACACACTGTGATATAGCCCTGCACACAAACCCTCCTGATATGCCCGACTCAGGCCCCCCTGCAGCTGCTCTCAAGGCCCAGGGTCCAGGCCCCTCTTCTCATGGGTGGGTGAGCCACAGGTGGGTTGCCTTCCACTGACCCGAACATCACTTCCTTGGGGGCTTAGGAGTTCATCCACCCCAGTCATGGGAGGTGTTGACAGGTCTGTGTGTGGAGTTGTCTTCCAGGTAATCGCACTTCTGAGGAACAGTTGGGTGGCCGGGATAGCTGGTGTCAGGAATGCCAGGGAGGAGGAGGAGGAGGTGAGCGACGGGTGACACCACTGACATGGTGCAGCTGGGACCCCTCTGAGAAGCTGGGACTGGTGGGTAGGGTCCTGGATTCCCCCCACATCCTCAGCACTGGAGCTTACCGTGGGATTAGCTTGGAATGGCAACTGGGGGTTGTGGGGAGAATGACGTTGACCAGGGGGACACAACCCTTCTGCAAAGCCTGAGCTCCAGCATCCTTGGCTAAGCTGATCTGAAGGAGCAGCTCACAGGTCACTGCCTGAGTCCCCATCCTGAGCCCGTGGGGCATGTTCCTCCCTATGGGCTGTGTGTGCTGGATCAGAGCTGCAATGGAGCAGAGGAGAGGTCCTCAAGGGGGTCATAGGCCTCACTGGCAGAGTGGTTTCCTCCAGGATCTCTACGTGTGGGGGTCTCTGCTGTCTACTTCAGCTCTTTCTGGCTCACACATGAACCCACATGAGCATGCTCTGTAGTCCCCTATGCCCACCGGTGACCCACATAGCCTGTCCTGAGGGGTGTCACCAGCACGGGATGCACCCAGAGCGGATGGGCACGTGCAGTGTGGGGCCTGGACACATTGGGCCTGGACCTGCATCCTGGTCTTGGCCCATCACTTGAAGAGCTCACACCTCGGACACACACCAGGCACCCCTCAGTCCCCAACAATGTCCCTCACAGCAAGCGCCTCACCTACCTCTGAGATGTGGCCTGCTGCTCCCCGGTCAGAATCCTGTCCTCATCCTCTCCTGTTTCATTCTTGGCCTGGACAGAAAATCCCGCCCCATCTTCCCATGGCCAGGGGCAATCCTCTAGTCCCAAAACCTGGAGACTGCAGGTCCAAGCTTTGCTTTGCTCATGTCCCAACCTAGGCCTGACTGAAGCCCTTTTTACCTGGGCACTTCCTGATCCTCCCAGATGAATGCCTAACACGGGCATGTGTGTGTGCGCACGTGTGTGTGTGTGTGCGCACTGTGTGTCTGCACGTGTGTGTTTGCACGTGTGTGCAGTGTGTGTGTTTGTGTGTTTGTGTATTAGAACTCAGATCTCATGCTGTGTTCTTCAAAAGACAAGTCAGCTTCACCCAAGCCGTTGGCATAAGCCCAGAATCTGACTCTTGACTTTGAACTCAACTCCCCAGCCAATTGACAACTTGTGCACTCAGGACGTTAGGCACTCATAGTGGCGTCAGTGAGGAGCTGACACTTGTCACCTAGGAACTTTAAATACAGCTGGGACATCCAGTGACACATGTGGGATGAGAGGCACCCAGAGGGGAAAGTGGGGTGAGTGACCAGGTCCAGGGGGTAAGGGTCCTATCAGTGATTGTTACAGGGAGGCCCTGTGGGGGCAGAGAGCACGGTCCTTGGGATGATGGGAACAGAGTGTGCCCAGGAGGAAGGGGACATAGTCTAGGCTTTGATGAGAGGAAATACAGGTGGGGTGACCGTGTGGCCTTGGAGCGGGGTGGAAAAACACCTTGAGGGAGGAATAGCATCTGGACAGTGAGGGCGGAGGGCAACAGGGAAGGGGGCTGAGATGTTCTCCTGGGGCCGTGGGGATGTTAGGAGAGTGTGATCCCGGGCAGCCAGAGGTGGACATGTCCACAGGGCATCAGGAAGCACAGCAGAGACGTGGGTACGAAACAAGATGTCTCGGTCTGACTATTTCCTTGTTCTGGAACATTCTATGGGGATAGAGTGATGAACAAAATGTGCCTCAGAGAAACATCAGGATGCTTTGCAGCTGCTTTGTCCCAAGTTCAAAGGATTCTATTCACCTTTGGAGATGGTCAATTTAGGATGGAAAATGTATAAACAAAAATGAGCAGACAGCATGTTTTCTGATTGACAAGGAGGACATTTATTGCGAATTTACTGGGTGTAGGCAGAAGGGCTGGATGACTTGTGGTGGGAGGGAATCTGTCCTGGGATCAGGGTTGGGGGCCTAAGGACATCCTGCAGTGGCCACTGTCTTCTTCATGGTGTTCCCCTCATGTGTGATGTGGCAGCTGTAAGTACTGTGTTACCTCCACTGCTCAGGCGTCCGGCTCAGGTAGCTGCTGGCCGCCCAGTTGTTCCTGCTCTTTTGGAGGGTTTGGTGGTCTCCATGTCCTTGGTGACAGGGTTGCCATCTGAATTCCAGGCCCCTGTCACGGTTCATGGGTAGAAGTCACTTATGAGGCACAGCAATGTGGGCTTGTTGGCTTGGAGCTCCTCAAAGGAGGGCGGGAACAGAGTGACCTAAGGGGTGGCCTTGGGCTGACCTGTGGGGTCAGCGAGGGGCAGGAGGTCAGAGTCCTGGTGTCTACCTAGGGAGCCCCTGACTTCAGTCTTGAAGTGAGTATTGGACTAAGGCCAGGGCAGGGACCTCAGGCCGGACCTTTGCTGGAGTGAGGTCAGGTCAGTGGTGAGCGGAGACACTCACTGTCAAATGGGAGGCTCTCCAGTGCCCCACTCTCGGGGAGTCACAAACTCCGTCTTGCATCTGCCTCTTTTTCATATGTCCCATCACCTACGGACACCCAACTGTGCTCCCTCCGCACTAGATGGGATGGAGTTCTCTTCATCCATCTGGGACCACCTCTCAGCCTGGGTTTCTGTCTGTGTTGGGGGTGTCTGTCTGAACGCCTCCTACCAGCTCCCCTTGTTCTCATCTCTTCATGCAGGGCAGCTGCTGGTCCTGGGCTCAGGCTCTTCTCTCTCACAGGAAGTGGGTTTCTTGCCCACACATTCCCCTGGCACCATCATTGCAGCCCCCATCCCATCTCCCTGCAGAGACCCCTCGGCACTGCCTGGTGAGAGTGGGTGTCGGTCTCAGGAGCTGGATTCCAGTTGATCAGAACCTTCCATTTGAGGCATTGTTTTTCACTCTCGGAGCTGAACATGGAGCTGTGTCTGTTCGAAAGGGTCTCCATGTTGTCAGAAGTTATACTGGGGATCTGAGTCTCCAGTGGGTTTTCCCTGACAAACACGCACGCATCCCAGTCACCGTCCCTATCAGGAGCCCTTGTCCTGGGCATCTGCTCTGGGGTCTTCCCCCAGTGGGGGAATTGGTAAGGGTCCACGTTTAGGAGCTGAGTTTTCTGAGACCCAGCACCCTGTCCATGGTGTCCTGCTTGTCCTGGGGAAGGGAGTGTGACCCAGCACCGGGGGCCACCTTCTCCCAGGATATTCTTTCTCCATCTTTGTCTTCCTCCTGTTTCCTCTGCCATCTCTCCAAGTCCTCAGTCCAAGGTCTGTTGCCACTGTGGTTAACATAGCCCGATAGCCGGGACCCCCAGAGGACAGCACCGCAGAGAGGCTGGGTTACCACAATGACGTGGAAGCCCAGACAAGGAGGGATAGAGGTTCCAGACACCCAGGCAGGCTTAGACCTTAGCCTCAGACAAGACAGTCAAGGGAAGAAGAAGCTCCCCACATTTCACTTGGGACCTCAAAGAGGAGACAAGCTGGGAAACTTACCAAGGATGGTCGGCTGGGTGCCGGCTCCGAGCACAGCACACAGTGACACAGCCCCCTACACAGAGCCCTCCTGACACACCGGACCCATTCCCTGCTTCAGCTGCTCGGGTGCCCGGGTCCAGCGGCCCTGTCATGAAGCAGGTCTGCCCGATAGGAGGGTGAGGTGGTTGGTCCCTATGATGGATGCACACTTTCCTGGAAGTTAGGAATCCCTCCAGAATGGGGAGGGGGAGGAGGCATATCTGCGCATCACATCTGGATGTCCTGGAGCAAGCCATGTGTCCCGGCTAGGCTCCTTTGGAGACTGTCACCATGGAAGAAGTGAGAAGCCTTTTTATGCCACAGGGAAGGTGGAGCTGGTCCCCTATGGAGAACTGAGGCCCCTGGGAGGGTCCTGGATGCCTAGCACAGGCCCCAGTGGGATGTCCACGTGGTAGTAATTCTAAATAGCACCGGAGTGTGTGTGTGTGTGTGTGTGTGTGTGTGTGTGTGTGTGTGTGTGTTTGCATGCAGGCATGTTTGTTTTTGGATATCTGTGTGCATATGAGGTGCGCATGTATGTTTATGTTTGTGAATATGTGTGTATGTGAGTTTGTCTCATAGCCCAGGCCTGCTACCCTGTGCTACCTCCTGGGACAATAATCAACTGGGTTCTTACGCCCCACATACAGCTCTTAAGGAGACCAGTTGGTTTACAGGCACGTCTATGGCACTGGTCAGGAATCTCATGATTGACTGTGACTTCCCCGGGTCCCAGTGACTATCGATGGACACCTGGACATTAGGTTCTTGAGGTGTGGTCAGTTTGGGACTGGCTAGTTAGGGGTGAGAGAGAGCAGAGTTGACTCTTATCCCCCAGGGGACTTGAGTACAAACTGGGACACTGGTGACACTTGTGGGACCAGAGGTACCCAGTCGGCCTGTGGGGTGAGTGACCTGGGTCCAGAGTGTCAGAGTCCAGTGGGTGCCTGCTTCAGAGATGGATGTGGGGGTAGAGGGCAGGATCCTGGGAGTCAGAAACAGGGTGGGGCCCTAAGGAGTTGGGGAGGTCAAGGGCCCACAGACTGCAGAGGCTACTTTGGCCTGAGAAGGAAGGTCTGCTCGAGAGAGGGAGGCTGTCCAGGGACTGAGGCCTGACGATCCATGGAGGGAACTCGTTCTCCTGGCGGCCATGGGGAACCAAGGAGAGGTGGCTCCAGGCCATGGAGGTGGACATGTCCACACAAACCCAGCATGTATGGGAAAGAGGGGCAATCCTGGGACCTGCTGCCCAAAGCTCTGTTCTGGAATATTCTCTGGGCCTTTCTGGGTGCCGGTGGAACTACCCCTCAAAGCAATCCAGACTCCATTCCCTGGCTCCATTCCCACAAGGTGAAAAGAATTCTGTTCATCTTGCAGGTTGGTCCAGTTAAACAGAACACAAAGCCAGGCTTTCTGGTTGACAGTGAGGACATTTATTGAGGGTTTACTGGGTGCAGGGAGAAGGGCTGGATGACTTGGGATTGGGGGAGAGACCCCTCCCCTGGGATTCTGCAGCTGCAGGCCCCGTGGGTGGGGTGAGGGTTGGGGGCCTAAGAACATCCTGAAGGGGCCACTGTCTTCTCCACAGTTTTCCCCTCGTGCGTGACGTGGCAGCTGTAGCTGCTGCGGGACTTCCACTGCTGCGGCGTGAGGCTCAGGTAGCTGCTGGCCGCGTACTTGTTGTTGCTCTGTTTGGAGGGTTTGGTGGTCTGCACTCCATCCCTGACGCTGTTGCCATCTGCCTTCCAGTCCACTGTCACGGCTCCCGGGTAGAAGTCACTTATGAGGCACACCAATGTGGCCTTGTTGGCTTGGAGCTCCTCAGTGGAGGGCGGGAACACAGTGACCGTGGGGGTGGCCTTGGGCTGACCTAAGAGAGGGGCAAAGGGCAGAAGGTCAGAGTCCTGGTGTCCACCTGGGAGCTCCCGGCCTCAGTCTTGAGGTGGACACAGGAGTAAGGCCCAGGACAGGGACCTCAGGCAGGGCCCATCCTGCAGGAGGTCAGCTTGGCGGTGATGGGGACACTCACCTTCCTAGGGAAAGTGCCTCAGTGTCCGAGGACTGGAGAGAATCAGGTCTCTTTCACTCCAGCCTCCTTTCTAGATTCCCCTCCTTGTCAGCCAGGCCTCACCTCACCTGTGCTCTCCGCTGCTGGCGGGGCAGGGTTTAGCCCTGGGCCCCCGTCTTTCCTCAGGGAATATCTCTGTCTCAACAGCCCTGCCAGGTCCCTCTGTGTCTGTTCATGAGGGCTTCTTTGTCCTGTTTTGAGGTTCTCCTCCCTTTTGAGGAGTGAGTTTCTTCCCAGGGGTCCCCCTGGCGCCATCACTGCAGTCCCAACCTCACTTTCCCACCGAGCTCCCGTGTTGGGGAGAGGGCGTTAGTCCCGGGGCCGGGTCCCCAGGAGTCCCTGGGAGTCCAGGAGAATGAGGCCTTGCTGTGAGGTATGTTTTCTGGTCTGAGCCTGGGGCTGAGTGTGTTCCACAGGGTCTCCTTGTCATATTGGGAGATCTGGCTGTTCTAGGATGTCTGTCTGCCCTGCCAGTTCCCTGGCACCTGTGCCCAGCAGGAGTTCCTCCCCTGGCATCTGCTTTGGGATCTCTCCTTTTTTGTGAGTGGAAGGCTCTAGCCTTGGCCTGAGTGTCCTGAGACCCACCCTGTCCACGGCAGCCTGCCTGTCCTGGGGGACGAGGAGGGACCCAGCATGCTGGGACCACCTTATTACAGGACATTCTTCCTCCATCTTTGTCCCCTTTGATTTCCCCAAGTCCCCAGTCAAAGGCTTCCTTTCTAGGCGTTTAAAGCAACCCCATAGTTAGGACCCAGAACCCTAAGAGCTGAGCTGTTTCCTGCATTCTTTCCCTTTCCCACGACCCTGGTACCCTAGCCTGATCCCCTGCTCTGCTTTTCCCTGGCCCTCAGACTCTGAGGGAGGGAGTGGAACATCCCAGAGCCCAGGGAGAATGCCCATGAGGCAACGGCACGGTCAGGTGTGAGCAGGTGGCGGAAAGATGTCACTGGGATCTTCCCTTCCTGCCCCATCTGGTGCCTAAGAAGGGAGAGGCTGGAGGAGTTTGGGGCCAGCAAAAAGGCAATGGAAGCAGACCCCAGAAAGATTGAGACCCCTGCCCCAGACAGAGCACAAAGAAGAGGAAAGTGTCCCCTGAACTCTCCCTAGACCCAGAAGAAGAGAAAAAGGGGACTCACCGAGGACAGTCAGCGTGGTGCCACCGCCGAACACATTACACTGTGATATAGCCCTGCACACAAACCCTCCTGATATGCCCGACCCAGGCCCCCCTGCAGCTGCTCACAAGGCCCAGGGTCCAGCCCCCTCTTCTCATGGGTGGGTGAGCCCCGGGTGGGTTGCCTTCCACTGACCTGAATATCACTTCCCTGGGGCTTAGGAGTTCATCCACCCCAGTCATGGGAGCTGTTGACCGGTCTGTGTGTGGAATTGTTTTCCATGTAATCACATTTCTGAGGGGCAGTTGGGTGGCCGGGATCAGCTGGTGTCAGGAATGCCAGGGAGGAGGAGGAGGAGGAGGTGAGCATCGGGTGACACCACTGACATGGTGCAGCTGGGACCCCTCTGAGAAGCTGGAAATGGCAGGGAGGGTCCTGGATGCCCCCCGCCAAACCCTCAGCATTGAAGCTCATGGAGGGATCGGCCTGGAATGGCAACTGGGGGTTGTGGGGAGAATGACGTTGACCACGGGGACACAGACCCTCCTGCAAGGCCTGAGCTCCAGCACCCTTGGCTCAGCTGTTCTCAAGGAGCAGGTCACAGGTCACTGCCCGAGTCCCCCTTCTGAGCCTGTGGGGCAGGTTCCTCCCTATGGGCTGTGTGTGCTGGATCAGAGCTGCAATGGAACAGAGGAGAGGTCCTCAAGGGGGTCATAGGCCTCACTGGCAGAGTGGTTTCCTCCAGGATCTCTACATGTGGGGGTCTCTGCTGTCCTTGACAGCTCCTTCTGGCTTACACATGCACCCACATGAACATGCTCTGCAGTCCCCTATAGGCACCAGTGACCCACACAGCCTGTCCTCAAGGCTGTCACCAGCACGGGATGCACCCAGAGCGCATGGGCACGTGCAGTGTGGGGCCTGGACACATTGGGCCTGGACCTGCATCCTTGTCTTGGCCCATCACTTGAAGAG